GGCGCATTTTATGAAGCTTGAGGGAAATTCCCGTCTGAATAAAAGATGACGAGACCCGCCCAGAACAGACCCTTACTGTGAGCTGCCCAGAAGGAGACACATCATCCACGAACAATTGAAGGACGGCAACTGAATTTCAGTAAGTCAATATAAATGAATCTTTATAAAACTATAAATAAATTATAACAAATCAAATCAAGGTGTGTAACACATAAAAAGGTACCCATAGTCTTATAGAGAGAAGGTTATTCACTAGTTTTATGAGAAGACTAGAACGAGGGTGTAACGGTACCATGGAAAGTCCCGCTGACTGCTGTCTGTAGAAATATCTACGTGGTCTGCAGCCACTACAAATAACACGAGGTGTTTTGGAATACGTGGTGTTATTAAATATGTACATATGGTGCATAGCAAGTAATGACATGAGAATGTTGAAGATGCACATGGGTAGTAAGGGAGATTACAGAGTGAATGTGGATGTGAAAGAGAACCGTTGAAGATACATATGGTGCATAGATGCACATGGAGTGGTGCGGGTGTGAATGCCTAAGTATAGTTATATAGGGAAAATAATGAGTTTTTCCATCTATAACGTTATCTAGGGGTTCCTTCCACCACCACCCATCATAGTCTGCGTACTAATAATAGCACGTGGTGTTATTGAACATGGTGTTGTTTTATATGTATAGGAAGTAGCGGTCTATAGGCATTTCTGAATTGTCTATGTGGTCTGGGACCACTGTCTCTGGGAGGTTAGAACTGTTGAAGATACATATGGTGCATAGATGCACATGGAGGGGTGTGGGTGTGAATACCTAAGTATAGCGATATAGGGAAAATATTGAATACCCCAACCAGTTCTGTGTGAGCTGAGTTTTTCGATCTGTAACGTAATCTAGGGTTCTGTCCACCTTCGCCCGTTGGATCTACAGGTAGAGGAAAACATGTCTCAGGTAATTTGCTTTCAGATAGCATTCTAATAATGCAATGTCTTAGTAATTTGAAGAAGTAATTGTTCAATACAAGGTCACATGACAAACAGAGGAATTGAGCATTGGGACTGATATAAAATGAGAGGCCGCTCACTCTTCAAAGCCTGGTCCACTGCTCTTGTCTTTAAGTCATCTGTTGTTTGGTTTAGATTTAAGCTTCCTGTGGAACAATAGATAGCCGCCAGTACACACTGAACTCAAACAGGCTAGAAGAGACACAGTAGGGAAATTTGGGACAGAGGTATGAATGAATAATTGAATAAGACACATTTTTGACAATTTATTACTCAATTCTATAGTTTGGGTAGCACCAGTGATTTAAGTAAGAAGGTAATGTCATCTAAAACAATAATATGTTTCCATTAATTGGAACTGTGTTGTGATTTAAGTAAGTAATGTCATCTAAAACAATAATATTTTTCCATAATGTGGAACCGTGTCCAGATTGAAGTAGATCCAAGTAAATGTTTTAAGTAATACATATTGAGCTCATAAGCCAACACCAACTTTTTGAAGGTCTTAACATATTTGTTAAACAACAGGTTTCATAGTTTGACTAGTTTATGTCCCAAGGACAGTTTGTACAGAATTGTATTTCATTGCAACAGGTCAAACTGACAATGATTACAAGAGAGGGGCTCTGGGATTGTTTACTTTAGAAGGTGCCAATTCATCTTGATGGGACACTGTATCATCTGATGTGTCTGAAGTATAATTCTGTATATGACTGATGGAATGTCCACTACCAAGTTGTTTTTAACATGTTTATCAATGATTCTGTATCCCTCCCTTTGAAAGGTTTTCTACGGCAAGTGCCTTGGGAGGTCAGTTAAAGGTACCCGGATCCAGCTGTTAAGGGAGCTCCCAAATGAATAAGGCCTGGCCATTTTGTTTGTTTTTACCCTACGATTTTTACTATATACACACCAGCACCCACACACAACCCACCTGTTAATGAATATTTGTTAGTGGTTAATACTCTGTTTGATTTATTGTGTTGGGTCTTTTTATTTTTGTTTTAGTGGGTTAGTTTTTCATGGGTTGGAAAGGATGCTGTACACAATTTTCTGAAGTTTCAGAGTTTTGGTTGCACACATGTAAATTATCCTGATAAGAAATGTACTGGAAAAACCCAATGTAAACCTGATATACAAAACGTTTGAAATATTGGAAATATCTTTAAATAATGTCTGAGGTACGGGAAACAAACACTCACTTAATAGGGCTGACTGACCTCTGATCTCTGTTCTGACTTCCTGGTGAGTCCTGATCACCCTCACTAGAAAGACTGGAGACATTGGGTGAGATTTAAATGGGCTATGTAAACATTAATAATTAAGAAGAAGTTGATCATTTATCAATAGTCCTATGTGTGATTCGGACCATGAATGAGGGAATGAGGGACACCTGTCTAGTCTATTTTACCATTACCTTATGGGATACAATTATTTCCTTATGGAGTTATCAAGAGTTGTAATTCTAATTTGATTTGTTATTCTAATTTGTTTATTTTTGATTTAACAGGCAGTGTTGTTGTTTTTTTGGGACTCATGAATCACGATGTGAGTCATGTGTCCAAAGGGGAAATTACCAGTCCCCTGGGCCCTTTGGTAAATATGCAAATTTATTTTGGTCACATGCCTGCCTGTAAAAGGAAAACATATACTGTATGTAAAACCACAATGAGGACATCGACCCACTAAGCAAGTTTTCATAAATCATTGGGTACAGCGCAAGAAAAACGTCAGAGTAATCTGTAATGGGGGCATTAATTCATATTCACATTTACAACATAACATACATAGGCATTTCATCATTAAGACCTTTAAGAAATAATGTCTGCAGGGTGAAGATCCCAAAACATTATCTTTTGCTCAGAGTATTATTTATATCACCTCCCCTGTCTGATATCTTAACTTTCTCTATGCCACAATATCTAAAGGTAGAAATGTCATGTTTTAGGTCATTAAAATGTACTGCAACTAGATAATCCCTGTCGTTTCTCCTGATTTAACTTTTATGTTCACAAATTCTCTGTTTGAGAAAATGAGAGGTTTTACCTACATAACACAGCCCACATGGACATTTAATCATGATGGGTGGTGGAGCATGTAATGTCGTCATTTATTTGGAACCGTTTTCCTGTATGTGAGTGGCAGAAATATTCACACTTCATATATTGTTGCACTGTGCGCAACCTCTGCATTGATAACTACCATTCGGAAGAGGGCGTAAAAGAGCCTGGCTGATTTCCTTTTGTGGCTGGCAGTTGGCATGGACCAATTTATCGCGTAAATTGCGACCTCTCCTCTATACAATTAAGTGGTGGATTCTTGAATTCAGCTGGCAAAGCTGGGTCCGATGATAAAACATCCCAGTGTTTCTTGACAGCATCTCCCACTTTTCGCGATTTCAAAGTATATGTGGTGGTAAACATTATAGAGTGTTTACCACCACATATACCACATATTATAGACAATTTGTCTGTCATAGTTGACGTGTACCTATGATGAAAATTACAGGCCTCTCTCATCTTTTTAAGTGGGAGAACTTGCACAATTGGTGGCTGACTAAATACTTTTTTTCCCCACTGTACGTCGTAGTCTGAAAAACTGGCTTCTTGGAAGTCCTCTTTTTAATGGCTCAGGGTGGAAGCTGTCCCCTTGTAATAGAGTATTTCTGTCCGTTTCTTTTCTATACAGAGTTGTAAACAAGGTTCCATTTAATTTCTCAATCCACATATCGAGGTAATGAACACGTTTAGTGTCACATTCAATAGTGAATTTGAGATTGGGGTCAATGACATTGAGTAATGCCATAAAGTCTGACAGCTCTTCTCCCGTTCTTCCCCATATGCAAAAAATTTCGTCAATATATCGATACCACTTCAGGACTTTATTCAAAAATAGATGTTTTGTTTTCATTGTTAACAAAACATTCTTCAGAAAGACCCACATATAGGTTGGCATAGCTCGGAGCGAATGTGGAGCCCATCGATGTTCCATTCGTTTGGCGGTAGTATTCATCATCAAACCTGAAATAGTTATACGTCAAAACATATTCAGCCAGAATAAAATTTGTTGGTGGGTATTTTGTTAGTATCTCGGTCTCTCAAATAGTGAGCTAGGGCTGCCAGCCCCCCCGTATGGGGAATGCTGGTATATAGACTCTCGACATCTAGTGTGACCAAAATACAGTCTTCTGTTAATCCCATTATTGGTGAGATCTTGTTTATGAAGTCTATAGAGTCTTTCACATATGATGGCAATGCTTGCATAAAATAGTCTACGAAGGTCGACCATGGCTCTAGCATTGAGCCTATTCCTGCAACCACTGGTCTGCCTGGAAAATTGCCTTGTTGTGTTTTCGGTTTGTGCAATTTCGGCAAAATGTACAGGCATGGATGTATGGCACATCTGCAGCAAAGATATTCATATTCAGGTTTTGAGATAAGGTTGTTTAATAGGGCTTGCTCCAGATTAGAGCATATATCCCTTTGGAACACCTGTGTGGGATCAACACTCAGTTTTCTATAGAAACGTTAATTACTGAGTTGTCTCTGAATCTCTTCTTTGTATTTTTCATAGTCTAAAATGACCACAGCACCCCCCTTGTCTGCAGGTTTGATAACCAAATATGAATCTTTAATTAGTTCATTTAGTGCCTGTTCTTCTTTCCTAGTGAGGTTCTTCTTTATGTGGTTTGTTTTTCTCGTATATGCTGACATGGCTTCTTGTTCGACTAACCTACAATAGGTATTATTTGAGGAGTTGTTGGCTATAGGACAGAATTTGCATTTGGGCTTAAAATGGGTACCAGTTCTTTGTTGGGTTTCTAGGCCAGAAACAGTGTTTTGAGAAAACACGTGCTTAAGTTTAATCTTGCAAAATAATTTAAACAGATCTACTTTCATATCAAATGGTTTGTCTGTGCATGTAGGTACAAAAGAGAGGCCCTTAGATAAGACTGAAACTTGTGCGTCAGTGTGGTCTTTTTTGGAGAGGTTAATTACCACGTCCTGCTGTAGCTCCGTGTCCACGGCCTGTGTTCCTGACCCCCTCTTTGACCGCTTGCCTCTCCTACATCATTTATTTTATTTCGTGGAGCCTTATTGTCCTGCTTTCGGGCTAAAACATCAGTCTGTGTGTGATGGTAGCTGGAGTCGCTGTCAGTAGGGAATTCACTCTCAGTGGATGCCTCTGTTTCTGCATTTCCATGTCCTCCAGCTGCTGCGTATCTGCGTCCACCGGTCAGTAGTGCATCCCTACGTCAGCCTCTCGGTGCTCCCGTCCTTGGGCCTTCCCGACTTCCCGAGCATAGACCTGGTTGAGCTGGTAGTCCTCTGTGTCTCGCTGATATTTCTTGATCTTTGTTGCTTGTAGGAAGTCTCTGTATTTCCCAATGGACTGGTTGATTGAATCGTCTATGGCTGTGAAGTTTAGGCCTAGAATCTCCTTCATTATAACCTCATGTTCACTGATCTTCACAACCTCTTTTACTTCCTTCGACACATGTTCAATGATTAATAGCATTAAATCTAAAGAACATTTGTTGAGCATTTCACCCCATTTCTGAACTAAAGTTTTGTCATTTTTCCCTATTGTAGACTCCTTCTGTATTCTCAGTCCTCTTGGAATGTGCTTGTTGCGCCAATACTCACTAAGAGTGGTGCCATGCAGGAACAAACAAGTTTCTTTCTCTCTGAGTCTCTGGATTTGGATTTTAACAGAACAGTGGAACGGAACGAAATAAATAGCGGTTCTGTTCAGAGTGAAACGATTGAAAAATAATTTCGGTTCCAACTCGATTTCCATGGTAATGGTGCCGCTTTACAATTCAATGATTAAACTTTGAAACAAAGTTGCCACTTGTTGTAGCAAACAAGTGTCATGAAATACATGCACAAGAAACAGGGTCACTTGTCAGATATGTCAGCAAGCCAGGCTAGCTATGTACAGCAAAATAGCTAGCTAGCTCTCTGCTTGGCAAGCTAGCTAGCTGCTTAGCTGAACACAGAATGTTAGCACACTGTCCTTTGAATGGCTAAATGGATCCGTCTCGTCACAAAACTTTGGCCAAAGTTGACATTTTAAATCTTGAATGCTCCAGCCAACGACATGTGATGTTTTAAAACTAGACCGTTCAGATCAAACTGTCGCGTCGTGTCTCATCTTATCTATCTGAACCGGGCTTTGTTGCTATTCCATAACAGTACACTTGTGTGAACTGAAGTAGCTAGCTAGCTAGCCAATATCAGCATGTTTTCAGACCACAGACATCAGAAATGTAACAGAACGCCAAGTATACACATAAGTTAGCTAGTTACGACTAACTAATGAAGCAATATTTTATATTCAAATTAAACAAACCAATGTCGCAGTCTGCTAACAAGCTACTACCCAGTTAGCACAAACGTCTGGCCCACATCTGGTCTGATTCTGGACAGCCAGATCTAAAAATGCTGTCCCACAACTGATCTGGCCCGAGAATTAAATGAATGACGGTACAGACAAGGCCCGAGTCATTCGGGCCAGATATGGCAGCCTATTTATATTAAATGTAGTTAGTAATATTATATAAAATGTAGGTATTAATATTGCAGCTATCAACCGAACTAGGAACAACATAAACAAAACAAAAAGACATGACATTAAGCAAATGCAAATGCAGCTACTTTGATGTTATTCTATATGCAGAGTTGACGCGACTGTGATAGCCATAGTTGGCTAGCTAGCAAGCAAGGGTTAAGAAAATTGCCAGCCTGCATAGCAATCAAACAAATAGAATGAACAACAAATCTGTTTCTCTAGCAACCTAAGAGATAGAACTAACAACCAGGTTTAGTGGAACGATGAAATAGTATGAATTTACTTATCAAAATTTAAATCTCAATGAAAACATGTAAATGTATGCTTGTTTTCTTTGGCAACTATGGTTTAAGTGGGATAAACGCCTCCACTCTGTACAATATCTGGAACTAATAAACACGGGCAGTACCAAGTCGTCCATTATTTACAGATAAATGTACAAAGTGTCAGTGTTTATCCCTTAGATATACAGTTGAAGTCGGAAGTTTGCATACACCTTAGTGAAATACAATCACAATTCCTGACATTTCATCCTAGTACAAATTCCCTGTCTTAGGTCAGTTAGGATCACCACTTCATTTTAAGAATGTGAAATGTCAAAATAACAGTAGAGAGAATGATTTATTTCAGCTTTTATTTCTTTCATCACATTCCCCGTGGGTCAGAAGTTTACATACACTCAATTAGTATTTGGTAGCATTGCCTAAAATTGTTTAACTTGGGTCAAACGTTTCGGGTTGCCTTCCACAAGCTTCCCACAATAAGTTTGGTGAATTTTGGCCCATTCCTCCTGACAGAGCTGGCGTAACTGAATCAGGTTTGTAGGCCTCCTTGCTCGCAGACGCTTTTTCAATTCTGCCCACAAATGTTCTATAGGATTGAGGTCAGGGCTTTGTGATGGCCACTCCAATACCTTGACTTTGTTGTCCTTAAGCATTTTTGCCACAACTTGGGAAGCATGCTTGTGGTCATTGTCCATTTGGAAGACCCATTTGCGACCAAGCTTTAACTTCCTGACTGATGTCTTGAGATGTTACTTCAATATATCCACATAATTTTCCTTCCTCATGATGCCATCAATTTTGTGAAGAGCACCAGTCCCACTTGCAGCAAAGCACACCCACAGCATGATGCTGCCACCTCCATGCTTCACGGTTGGGATGGTGTTCTTCGGCTTTCAAGTCTCCCAGTTTTTCCTCCAAACATAACAATGGTCATTATGGCCAAACAGTTCTATTTTTGTTTCATCAGACCAGAGGACATTTCTCCAAAAAGTACGATCTTTGTCCCCATGTGCTGTTGCAAACCGTAGTCTGGCTTTTCTATGGCGGTTTTGGAGCAGTGGCTTCTTCCTTGCTGGGTGGCCTTTCAGGTTATGTCGATATAGGACTTGTTTTACTGTGGATAAAGATACTTTTGTACCTGTTTCCTCCAGCATCTTCACAATGCTATTCATTGACTACAGCTCAGTATTCAACACCATAGTGCCCTCAAAGCTCATCACTAAGCTAAGGATCCTGGGACTAAACACCTCCCTCTGCAACTGGATCCTGGACATCCTGACGTGCCGCCCCCAAGTGGTAAGGGTAGGTAACAACACTGCCACACTGATCCTCAACACGGGGGCCCCTCAGGGGTGCGTGCTCAGTCCCCTCCTGTACTCCCTGTTCACCCATGACTGCATGGCCAGGCACGACTCCAACACCATCATTAAGTTTGCCGACGACACAACAGTGGTAGGCCTGATCACCAACAACGATGAGACAGCCTATAGGGAGGAGGTCAGAGACCTGGCCGTGTGGTGCCAGGACAACAACCTCTCCCTCAACATGACCAAGACAAAGGAGATGATTGTGGACTACAGGGAAAAAAAAGAGGACTGAGCACGCCCCCATTCTCATCGATGGGGCTGTAGTGGAACAGGTTGAGAGCTTCATGTTCCTTGGTGTCCACATCACCAACAAACTATCATGGACCAAACACACCAAGACAGTCGTGAAGAGGGCACGACAAAGCCTATTCCCCCTCAGGAGACTGAAAAGATTTGGCATGGGTCCTCAGATCCTCAAGAAATTCTACAGCTGCACCATCGAGAGCATCCTGACTGGTTGCATCACCGCCTGGTATGGCAACTGCTCGGCCTCCGACCGCAAGGCACTACAGAGGGTAGTGCGTACGGCCCAGTACATCACTGGGGCCAAGCTTCCTGCCATTCAGGACCTCTATACCAGGCGGTGTCAGAGGAAAGCCCTCAAAATTGTCAGACTCCAGCCACCCTAGTCATAGACTGTTCTCTCTGCTACCACACGGCAAGCGGTACCGGAGTGCCAAGTCTAGGTCCAAAAGACTTCTCAACAGCTTCTACCCCCAAGCCATAAGACTCCTGAACAGCTAATCATGGCTACCCGGACTATTTGCACTGCCCCCCCACCTCATAGTCACTTTACCTCTACCCACATGTACATATTACTTCAACTACCTCAACTAGCCGGTGCCCCCGCACATTGACTCTGCACCGGTACCCCCCTGTATATATAGCCTCCCTACTGTTATTTTATTTTACTTCTGCTCTTTTTTTCTCAACACTTTTTTTGTTGTTGTTTTATTTTTACTAAAAATAAATGCACTGTTGGTTAAGGGCTGTAAGTAAGCATTTCACTGTAATGTCTGCATCTGTTGTATTCGGCGCATGTGGCCAATAAAATTTGATTTGATTTGATTTGATTTGAAGGTCCTTTGCTGTTGTTCTAGGAGACAGAATGCGTCTCCTTCCTGAGCGGTATGATGGCTGCGTGGTCCCATGGTGTTTATACTTCCGTACTATTGTTTGTACAGATGAACGTGGTACCTTCAGACGTTTGGAAATTGCTTCCAAGGATGAATCAGACTTTTGGAGGTCTACACATTTTTTTCTGAGGTCTTGGCTGATTTCTTTTGATTTTCCCATGATGTCAAGCAAACAGGCACTGAGTTTGAAGGTAGGCCTTGAAATATATCCACAGGTACACCTCCAATTGACTCAAATGATGTCAATTAGCCTATCAGAAACTTCTAAAGCCATGACATAATTTTCTGGAATTGTCCAAGCTGTTTAAAGGCACAGTCAACTTAGTGTATGTAAACTTCTGACCCACTGGAATTGTGATACAGTGAATTATAAGTGAAATAATTTGTCTGTAAACAATTGTTGGAAAAATTACTTGTGTCATCCACAAAGTAGATGTCCTAACCGACATGCCAAAACTATAGTTTGTTAACAAGAAATGTGTGGAGTGGTTGGAAACGAGTTTTAATGACTCCAACCTAAGTGTATCTAAACTTCCGACTTCAACTGTATGTATGTGTGTATGTAAATGTATGTATGTCTTTCTGGGTCTATCCACCTTTTCCTTGCTGTGTTCGGTCCTCTCCTTTCTGCCTCCGTCTCTGTCTGGTGCAAGCTGCAGCCACCTTATGACGAACTTCTCCGTCTCTCCATCTGTAGCCTTGGGCGTGAAAGTGGTTCTCCTGACAGCACCTTTGAATAACAGAAAAAAAGAGCAAAAGAGGTAGTTACAACAATTAGTCAGATTTTTACACCACACAAAAATCCTAGGAATCACAATCCAGACTTCAAATGGGAAGCACATCAAGACAACACTGAGTCAAAGATAAATATGTGCCTGTTGTAGCGCCACTGTGTGGTCAATCTAAATGTGCTTGCATATGTTGACAGGGTTTTGAACGTGCACCAAGTTTGGTTACAATACAAATATACGTTTCTGATTTATATGCATGTATGTGCCAGACCACGCCCACATTGGTCAGTTGTTTGACATACTAGTCTGGATAATATTGCGTTGAAAGATCTTGGTCCATAGATGCCATATATCAAGTTTCATCCAGATCGGCCATGTGGTTCCGGAGGAGATGTCTTTTAAGTGTTTAAAATTTTTTCGAAATGGCGGTAAATCCATTATGGCAAACCTTGTGGGTCCTTGAGACAAATGTGTTCCTTGTGAGGAAAGGGACCTATGCACATAATTTCAGGACTCTAGGTCAGGGACGGGAAAATTACTATTTTCTGTAAACTATTGTCAGGCTACGTCATAATAGTATTATAATTCTTAATTCTATGGTCA